TACAAAAAGCTAGCCGGGCGAGGTGGCGGGCGCCTGTAGTCCCAGCTACTCGGGAGGCTGAGACAGGAGAATGGCGTAAACCCGGGAGGCGGAGCTTGCAGTGAGCTGAGAACCGGCCACTGCACTCCAGCCTGGGCGACAGAGCGAGACTCCGTTTCAAAAAAAAAAAAAAAAAAATACAAAAAAATTAGCCGGCGTGGGGCAGGCGCCTATAGTCAAAAAATTAGCCGGGCGTGGTGGCAGGCGCCTATAGTCCCAGCTACTTGGGAGGCTGAGGCAGGAGAATGGCGTGAATCTGGGAGGTGGAGCTTGCAGTGAGCGGAGATCGCGCCACTGCACTCCAGCCTAGGGAACAGAGCAAGACTCCATCTCAAAAAAAAAAAAAAAAAAAAAAAAAAAGAAATGTGTGTGAATGGCCAAGCGTGGTAGCTCACACCTGCAATCCCAGTACTTTGGGAGGCCAAGGTGGGTGGATCACTTGAGGTCAGGAGTTCGAGACCAGCCTTGCCAATATGGCAAAATCCTCTCTACTAAAAACACAAAAATTAGCCAGGCATGGTGGCACATGCCTGTAATCCCAGCTACTCGGGAGGCTGAGGCATGAGAATGGCTTGAACTGGTGAGGTGGTGATTGCCGTGAGCGGAGATCGCACCACTGCACTCCAGCCTGGGTGACGGGGCTAGACTCTGTCTCAAAAAAAAAAAAAAAGAAAAGAAAAGAAAAGAAGAGAAAGAAATGTGTGTGAAAGAGCAAAGGATCCCTGAATGCCACACTAAAGATATGGATGGTGGGCTGGGCACAGTGGCTCACACTTTTAATCCCAGCACTCTGGGAGACTGAGGCGGGCAGATCATGAAGTCAGGAGAGCGAGACCATCCTGGCTAACAGAGTGAAATCCTGTCTCTACTAAAAATACAAAAAATTAGCCAGGAGTGGTGGCGGGCACCTGTAGTCCTAGCTACTCAGGAGGCAGAGGCAGAAGAATGGCATGAACCTGGGAGGCGGAGCGTGCAGTGAGCCAAGATCGTGACATTGCACTCTACCTTGGGTGACAAAGCGAGACTCCGTCTCAAAAAAAAAAAAAAAAAAAAAAAAAAGGATATGGATGGTTTTCTACAAGAGGTGAGGCAGGGGGCGGGCGGTGGGTGCCTATGTTAAGCAGTGTTATAGGAAAAGTGTGTAGAAAGAATGGCCTAACAGGTTTATGGGGGATGATAGAGGGTCCCCTGGGAAGATGGTAAAAACCCTGTGCCCCCAGAAGCTCTGTTACAGGAAAGTGGACAGCAGCAGGAGTGAGGAAAGTCAAGAAGAGAAACAACCAACTGAATGTCTATTGATGATCAACAATGTTCACCTTAGATTTAGGCAAATAAAGACCTTCAACAAGTCCCAGAAAGTCCACAAAACTCATATTAAGCTCCAACTGTGTGCTAGGCCTTGTCCCAGGCAGCCTACCTCTGTTTCTCCCCTTTTTCCCACAGTAAGGTCAATCGGTTGCTGGCAGAGGCCTACAACCCAGCATCCTAAAGTGCTCTCCTTCCCCACCTCTACTCACATAAGTAAGGTAAACAACTTTTCTTGCATATGTACATTAACATCATAAAACCTACAATTATTATTATTATTATTATTATTATTATTGAGACTGAGTCTCACTCTGTTGCCCAGGCTGGAGTGCAGTGGAGCGATCTTGGCTCACCGCAAGCTCTGCCTCCCGGGTTCACGCCATTCTCCTGCCTCAGCCTCCTAAGTAGCTGGGACTACAGGTGCCCGCCACCACGCCCAGCTAATTTTTTTGTATTTTTTTTTTTTTTTTTAGTAGAGACGGGGTTTCACCATGTTAGTCAAGATGGTCTTGATCTCCTGACCTCGTGATCCACAGATGGTCTCAATCTCCTGACCTTGTGATCCGCCCGCCTCGGCCTCCCAAAGTGCTAGGATTACAGGCGTGAGCCACCGCGCTCAGCTGTATATCTACAATTATTGTCGATTTTTTTTTTCAGATGGGGTCTTGCTCTGTTGCCCAGGCTGGAGTGCAGTGATGCAGTCTTGGCTCACTGCAACCTCCGCCTCCCGGGAGTAGCTAGGATTACAGGCGCCTGCCACCACGCCCAGCTAATTTTTTGTATCTTGAGTACAGACAGGGTTTCATCCTTTTGGTCAGGCTGGTCTCGAACTCCTGCCCTCATGATCCACCCGCCTTGGCCTCCCAAAATGCTGGGATTACAGGCGTAAGCCACCGCGCACGGCCTGTACTGCAGATTTACATTAAAATCATAACACCTACAATTATTGTATTTTAACGGTAAGTTTTCTATTTTAAAGGTATTTATTTTCACTTTACTGGTCTAGTTTGCAAGGTAAACAATCAACTATTTTTTTCTTTGAGCTCACTTTTAACCTCAAGAAGTTTCTGATGAGAAAATGTTCTCCAGTGGGTGAATCATCAGGCCATCCTCCCCCTACCCAGCTACCAATCACGAGACTACCAGTACCTCTGCTCGAGTACCACTTGAGGATCAGGGATCCCCTCACATCCCGGCCACCCTTCCCTTCCCTACCACCTGGAGTGGGAGTGGTTGGCAAAGACTGGAATTAGGGGCATCTCTAACTCAGTACATCTGTTGGAGCTGTGCCTCAGAATACAACGCCACTCTGGAGCTGTGTGCTGAGAAGAAAGGGGAACTCGGTTTCTCATCACTCTTGTGCTCAGAAACCCTGTCCCAACAGGCATCCCCCTCGCTGAGGGGGTGGGATTAATTGGCCAAATACTTGTATATGAACTTCCAGATCTGCAAGGGCCACCCTTGTTCTTTCAAACATTGCCTTCAGGAGATACTGCCCAGCCAGCGGTTCAGAGTTGGGAGAAAACCCTCGCTAAACTGGCTCAACAATTCCCCAGGAAGGCTCACCCCGCAGGACAACACGAAGACACAATGATCCCAAAGACCTTAGTGTCTTGGTGGGGGGGAGGGGGAAGAGGTGGGGGGCTTTTCCGCTTAGCTTTCCTAAGCGTTGCCACGGAACAGCTCTCGGGCTACGTCAGGGTAAAGAGGCCCATATGGCCACACCTCGCACCGACCAGCTACCCCCGAAAGACCTTCTCCTTCCAAACCGCAGGGTGAGCACAGCGAGAGAAAAGGTGGCATAAGCAGAGGCGAACAACTGCGGTTCTTAAAGCCTTCTTTGCGTTTGGGCCCGCGCCGAGTCACAGCTAGAGGTAGATCCCGCTCCCGCGCGTCCGCTATCAGCCCCGGGATTCCCAGAGAGGCCTCTCAGGCCCTTCAAGACCCCCCGCTTCCGGCTTCCCGGCCCACACCTCTGAACCCTCAGGCCCTGGCCAGCCTCTATCCCCGCCTTTCGCGGCCCCGGCTCACCCTCGAGCGTCTCGCACTGCACCAGGTTGAGGTAGTCGGCCTGGTTGAGCACCCCGGCCTTCAGGCCGCGCACCAGTCCCTCCAAGTAGCCATTGTCCACGTTAAAGTAAAGCTCCGGGAAGAACGACATGGCTGCTGCGGGAGCGGCGGGACCAGAGAACCTGTACCGGCTGGCACGAATCGCGACTCCCAGATCAGCTGACGCGGCGTCTTCAGCGGGCTGTCAAGCGCGTCAGGTGACGCGCAAGCGCCTCACGTGACCACAAGGGGGCGTGGCTCTGAGCAGCTCCCGGCTTCCGGGTGGCTGCGCGGAAGCGCGGCGCAGGCGTAGGCTGGGGACGGTCCTATGGCGCCTGCGCGCTAAGAAGAGGACGTTTGGAGCCGGCCGCGTGGTGGCGCCCGCGGCCGCAGGGATTTGACTGGACCCTCTACCTTTCCCGGTTTTGCTGCACTTGGCGCTCCAGGGGCGGGCGGGGCAAAGAAAGGAGCCAGCCTTTCTCAAGCTTGTAAAGTTTTCAGACTGCTGGGCTAGCCTCCTCCCCAGAGGGAAACTGAGGTCCGATAGAGGCAGGAGAATAGGGTCTAGAGGCGGGGAACTTGAGGCCAATAGGTGCTGAATTCTGAAACTGAATCAAGGGAAAACACCAAGGTGTGGGGGCAGGGAGCGTGAGGCCAACTAAGGCGAACTTCCTAAAGCTAAACCAAAAAGAAAAGCCCCATCTCCCCATGTCCGAGTAACAAAGGATCAAAAGCCACTGTCCCCACAAACCTCCCCCATCCACCAAGTCTCATTTGAAAGGGAGAGTGCCTTGGATTGGCTGCGGGCCAAGCATGGGCCATCCCTTCATCTGCATAGGGCGCGAATTCTCCTCAGCCTCATTTGTGCCTAGTGTTCCATTATTGGAACGCTAAGCATATGGGAGTTATTTATATCCTACTGCTCAAGGTAATCGCCAAGGTCTGATTGCAAAAATGCAAAAGATTGCAACCTCAGGCATAAATGGGTTAATTAGTCATGGACCAAACCCTTCATCCAGATAAGGGGTAACGGACAGGGACCGCAAAAGGAGTACTTAAAACCCAGAAAACTTTGTAACTGGGCCCCTTGAGCCTCTTGCTCGGGCCCACTCCCACCCTGCGGGAGTGCTTTCTCGCTTTAACAAATCCCTGCTTTCTGCTTCCTTCCTGTGTGTCATTCCTTTGTTACTTTCTGGGTTTTGTTCAATTCTTTGTTCAAAACGCTGAGGACCTGAACAACGCACACTCCCCGCTTTCCCTCTGGTAACAGGATGAGGGGCAGGCATTGTGTGGAAGTAGCAGCAAGCAAGCCCTGGAGCCTAAGGCTTATTCATTAGCCAGGAGTGATAGCCCCTGTGCCATGCTGCGTCCTGCTTTCCCCACACTTGCTGTACAAGATTTTTGAAAGCTGGAGTGCGGTTCTTCTCTACTTTTCCCAGGGGCGCCAGGACCCCTAAAAGCGCCTGTGTATGTGCCTCCTATGTTGGGGTAGCCCAGGCCCTGGAATAAGAGTATGTGTGGTTTCCTGGCTTGGCGACACTCCCACCCCCTCCATGAACCCTCCCTCTTTTGACGGCCACATTTGAAATAATCACAGCCTTGGGGTTTGTCCCATTCTTTATTCGCATTGCCCCTACGCTAGCCCTGACCCTGATGTTGGCCAGCTAGGTGCGGCTGCAGGGGTTCATGGCAGTACCCAGCTTGCGGCAGTAGCAGAAGGCGTTGAAGAAGCGGCAGTAGCATGTGGCACAGGGATCACAGCAAGGCACCTGCTGTCCCAGGCAGGACTCATGCAGCCTTACGCAGCGACGTGAGGAGCGGGGCTCGCGGTCCTGCGAGTCTAGTACCTGTGGGTGCGGGGAACCAGGAATGTGGGCACAGGCCTCTAACTACAGGTCCAGGGACCTTACCTGTCCTAACCTGTGCAGGATAGCAATGGAGCATGGGGAGAGGTGGAGCTGGGGAGAGGAGCTAATACCCAATGCCCCCTCCCAAGGGCCACCACCTTACCCTTTTCCCTGAGCAGTTACCTCTGCCAAGGCCTGAGCCTCCTGCAACAGATCCTCTTCTGCCAGTTCTGCAGTTGTCTTCTTCAGTGGGGCCCGCAGACCCAGGCCTGGGGCAGAGGATGTGAGGGCAGGAACCCCCCCCATGCACAAAGCACCCACCTCCCATGGGAGGGTTTGGGAAGGGAGAAAGAGGGTTTATGCCAGGGGAGACAATTTGTGGCCAGAGGGTATTCAGGCCCCGCCCAGTCCCACCCTTGCTCACACTGACCTGGGAGCTCTGGGAACAGGGCCTGGTCAGGCCTTCTGATGCCCTCCAGGGGGGCCAACCCCATCTGGGCTCCTTGCGTGGCAGGCAGTGCCAGCAGCAGGGCACAGCTCAGCAGTGCTGCAGTCAGCATGGCCTGGCTCAGCAGGAAGACGCACCACTTAGTCCCTCCTAATCCTTGGAGTCCCCTCTAGATGCCCAGATAGAGACCCCACAGAGAGGAGGAGTCCCTGCCCAACCTGAGGACTCACCTCTGCCTCCGGGATTCTTGCCTAGAGAGTTCCTGGCCACCCCGTGCCCTCGGCTTATATGGCAGGGCCTAATAAAGGGCCACACGTGACTGATCCCTGCAGCCAGGCTGTGAAGGGCCCTTCCTGGAGGGTGGGGGCACAGTTCAGACCCTCACTCCCTGAACCTGAGCCTTTTGTTCTATAAAAGGGGTGCCTATCTCCAATTTGGGGTGAGGTTTCCAGGAGCCAATTACAATTTGGGAGCCAGAGAGGGTGTCCAGGGTCCCCAAATGTCCATGGGACAGGGACCCAGGAGCCAAGCAAGGCCGGAGCCATTAGCAGTAACAAGGCAGGCGGCCCTGAAAGCTTAATTTAATTTGTGGCCCCAGAGATGCTTACTCAACTCCTATGTGGCATGTTGTTTCCTGTGCTTCTAAGAATTCAGATCAAGGATATTGGAGAGGGTGATGGGCCAATGGCCACTGTTGGGCAGGGGTAGGTGCAGAACTAGACCCTGGGTTTCTTTGGAGGGAATGGGGAGGGAAAAACCCACCTAACGAATCCCAGGCCCTCCTGACTGCATTTCTGGTCCTCCCCTCCCTTTCTCCCTCCAGGTCTTTCCAAGACCCCCACTCCTGCTCCTGTCCCCAAACCCCTTTCCGCCTGGGGTTCCTGGAAGCCAAGGAAACAGAACGAACTGTTCCCTGGGTGGGCGAGCCACTGCAGAGTACAAAGCTTTCAGGCCGCCTGCCTCATTAGCGTTAATGGCTGCTCCCTTCCGCCCTTCGTTGTCAGTACTATCTATGCCTGGTCTCATCAGCACAAGGCTGGGGTGAGGACTGCCCTTTCGTGGAGATGGCAGGACATACAGGACCCCACTGCCCCTGCCTTCCCTCACCCCACTGCAGGGCTGTTTATCACACACGTGTCCATCTGGGAAAGGAATGCAGGCTGAATCAGCTTTGAGAGGATCACAAGGCCCCAGTGCACAAACTGGGTTGGCACAGGGCAATGGAAAAAAGATGAAGGGGGCCAGGTATGGTGGCTCACACCCCTAATTCCAGCATTTTGAGAGGCCAAGATGGGAGGATCACAAGGTCAGGGGTTTAAGACCAGCCTGGGTATCATAGCGAGACCCCATTGCTACAAAAAATTAAAAAATAGCTGGGTATAGTGGTGCATGCCTGTAGTAGAGGCTGAGGTGGGAGGATGACTTGAGCACAGGGGTTCAAGGTTGCAGTGAGCTATGATTGCATCACTGCACTCCAGCCTGAGCGACAAAGCAAGATTCTGTCTCAAAAAGAAAAGAAGATAAAGGGTGGCCAGGCATGGTGGCTCACGTCTGTAATCCCAGCACTTTGGGAGGCCAAGGTGGGTGGATCACTGGAGGTCAGGAGGTCAAGACCAGTCTGGCCAATATGGTGAAACCCTATCTCTACTACAAATACAAAAATTATTCAGGCATGATGACACATGCCTGTAATCCCAGCTACACGGGAGGCTGAGGCATGAGAATCACTTGTAACACGGGAGGCAGAGACTGCAGTGAGCAGAGACTGCACCACTGCACTCCAACCTGGGCGACTGAGCAAGATTCCGTCTCAAAAAAAAAAAAAAAGAAAAGAAAAAAATGCTATTTAAAATGAAATGAAGCAATCCATACTCCCAACATTTGTATACACTGGGACAGCCAAGAAATTAAAACCATACCTCATTATGTCTATTTTTTTGAGACAGGGTCTCACTCTGTCACCCAGGCTGGGCCTGGTCAGCACCCATGCTATGGAGAGCTCTTCATGGTCTGGTGCAGGCAGGGTGGGAATGGGAGAAGTCTTCCACCCAGGTGCTCAGTGTCTTACCTCACCTACGAGCAGTGGCTGTCTTCACCTGAGTGTGTGCACACAGGTGTATCAGCCCCATGGGCAGTGATGGGCAAGGGCTGAGGCACTCACAGGGCAGCCCATGCCCCAGACGGTCCAGTGGGGGAGACATCAAGAAAACCCACCACCAAAACACAATGAGCTGCGATCGTGCCACTGCACTCCAGCCTGGGTGACAAAGCAAGATGCTGTCTCAAAAATCAAAAACAAAACTAAAGAAAAACACAGCCAGGTGTAGTGATTTACACCCTCTTGAGCCCAGGAGTTTAAGACCGGCCTGGACAACATAGTGAGACTCTGTCTCTACAAAAAAAATTTTAATTAGCTGAATGTGGTGGTGCACACCTGTAGTCCCAGCTACTCAGGAGACAGGGAGGAAGATAGCTCGGCCCAGGAGATTGAGGCTGCAGTGAGCCGTGTTAATGGTGGCTCATGCCTATAATCCCAGCACTTTGGGAGACTGAGGCAGGCAGATCACCTGAGTCTAGGAGTTCGAGGCCAGCCTGGGCAACATGGTGAAACCCAGTCTCCATTAAACAAACAAACAACAAAAAAAAAAAGTTTCATGGCCGGGTGCAGTGGCTCATGCCTGTAATCCCAGTATTTTGGGAGGCCAAGGTGAGCAGATCATGAGGTAAGGAGTTCAAAACCAGCCTGGCCAACATGGTAAAGCCCCATCTCTACTAAAAATACAAAAATTAGCTGGGCATGGTGGCACGCACCTATAATCCTAGCTACTCAGGAGGCTAAGGCAGGAGACTTACTTGAACCTGGACCCGGGAGGCAGAGGTTGCAGTTAGCTGAGATCGTGCCACTACACTCCAGCCTGGTGACAGAGTGAGACTCCATCTCAAAAAAAAAAAAAACAGTTTCACTACGTGGGTGATTTTACTGGTAAGGAACCACCCTGATATTCCCAGGACAATGCTTGTTGGCAAAAGGACCTTCAGAAATATGTGGCATGTTCTGGGAGGAGGTTTTGGGAAACCCTGGGGGAGGCAGAGCCTCCTGAGTGAGGGTGGAGGCCCGGAACACAGGGACTCTGCAGGGAGGAGAAAAGGGAGAGTGTGCATGCTTGTGCCAGTAGACCACATGAGGACAGAGAGGGGTGCTCAAACCCTCTCCCTTCTGTTTTTTTCCTCCTGCAGTGTACTCCCCTTCAAGGGCCCTGTTCCCACTTCGTCCAGGGGAGAGAGCGGGGGATGCAGGGAAAAACTGCAAGCACCTGTGGCCCTGTCAATCAGGTGCTTTTTGAATCAGGGTTGATTTTGAAACCCCTACCCAGCCCACTGACCCTGCCCCAGGGAGCACAGTCATGTGTTTCCTGTGAATCATCTGTAGGATTTCCTAAGGCAGAGGTTTCCTGGAGAGGCATGGTCTCCTCAGTCATTCAGGGAGGGGAGAAGGATGGATGGGGGTTCTCTCAGGCTGGTGTATTGAGCCCTGAGCTGGAGGGGATCTGTGATGGTTAATTTTATGTGTCAACTTGACTGGGCCAGGAATGCCGAGATAGCTGGTTAAATATTTTTTCTAGTTGTGCCTGTGAGGGTGTTTCCCATCCAATCCTTTGAGGGTGGGAATAAAACAAAAACATAAAGTTGGTGCCATGGCTCATGCCTGTAATCCCACCACTTTGGGAAGCTGAGGTGGGAGACTCCTTTGAGCCCAGGAGTTTGAGACCAGCCTGGGCAACATAGGGAGACCCCATCTCTACAAAAAATTTTAAAATAGCCAGTCGCAGTAGTGCATATCTGTGGTCCCAGTGACTCCAGAGGCTGAGGTGGGGAGGATCGCTTGATCCCAGGAGGTTAAAGCTGTAGTGAGCCATGATCACACTACTACATTCCAGTCTATGCACACGAGACCTGTCTAAAAAAAGAAAAAAGAAAAGAAAGAAAGAAAACTGGAAACAATCCAAATATCCATCAACAGCAAAATGGATAATAACAGTATATTGATATAATTGGGCCAGGCACAGTGGCTCACACCTGTAATCCCAGCACATTGGGGGTGCATCACTTGAGCTCAGGAGTTCAACACCAGCCTGAGCAATGTGACAAAACCCTGTCTCTTTGGGTGGATCACGAGGTCAGGAGATCGAGACCATCCTGGCTAACACGGTGAAACCCCGTCTCTACTAAATATTACAAAAAACTAGCCGGGCGAGGTGGCGGGTGCCTGTAGTCCCAGCTACTCGGGAGGCTGAGGCAGGAGAATGGCGTGAACCCGGGAGGCGGAGCTTGCAGTGAGCCGAGATTTGGCCACTGCACTCCAGCCTGGGCGACAGAGCAAGACTCCGTCTCAAAAAAAAAAAAAAAAAAAAAAAAAAAAACCCTGTCTCTTCAAAAATTACAAAAATTAGCCAGGCATGGTGGCGCAAGCCTGTAGTCCCAGCTTCTGGAGAGGCTGAGGTGAGAGAATTGCTTGAATCCAGGAGGCAGAGGTTGCAGTGAACCAAGACTGTGCCACTGCACTCCAGCCTGGGTGACAGAGTGAGACCCTGTCTCAAAAAAACAAACAAGCAGTATGTTTATATAATTGACAACCATACAGCAATGAAAAGAGAATGAACTGCTGCTACACACTACAACATGAATGAATTGCACAGACATAAGGTTGAATGAAAGAAGCACGCTGGAGAAGAGAGGATGGTATGATTCCAGCCCTGTAACATTCAGACCCAAGGAAAATTTTAATAAATGGTGATAAAACACACAGTGGTTAACTCTGGGAGGGTGGGGAATTATTGACTGAGGGGGGAAATGAGGAAAACGTGTGAGGTGTTGGAAAGGTTTTGTATCTTGATCTGAGTGGTGGTCACACAGGTATATACATGTGTAAAATTTCATTGAACTGCACATTTAAGACTTGTGCATTTTGCCAAGTGCAGTGGCTCACACCTGTAATCCCAGCACTTTGGGAGGCCAAAGTGGGCAGATCACCTGAGGTCAGGAGTTCGAGACCAGCCTGGCCAACATGGTGAAACCTCGTCTCCACTAAAAATAGAAAAATTCGCCAGATGTGGTGGTATGTGCCTGTAGTCCCAGCCTCTCAGGAGGCTGAGGCAGGAGAATCACTTGAACCCAGGAGGAGGAGGTTGCAGTCAGCCAAGATTGTGCCACTGTACTCCAGCCTGGGTGACAGAGTGAGACTCCATCTCAAAAAAAAAAAAAAAAGACATGTATTTTTTACTGGACATTATGTCTCAATGAAAACGTTTTTTCTTTTCCTTTATTAGTGGCTCAAAAAATAACGGAGTGTCTGGCTGGGCGTGGTGGCTCACACCTGTAATCCCAAGACTTTGGGAGGCCGAGGTGGGCAGATCACGAGGTCA